CTGTTGATTTGTATTAATTTGTCTTGAGACCCTGTATCACTTTGAATGTTTTTGCTTTGATTTGTTTATGTTCGTGATACTGGTATGCTGCACTGTTCTATTTTTTTTGTTTGTTTCTCATGTATTACTCTCTTTAAAATAAAAAATAAAAAAAGTCTTTTGTCTCTAAAGTGTAAACTAAATTAGAATATACAATATAGGAATTTGAGTCAGTGAGTTAAGAACAAAAACTTAACATTTAATTTTATTTTTAACTTTTTAAAAAATAGCTCATTAAAATTATATGATGAAAGACTTTGAGGAAATTGAGTAGATAAATTAAAATACTCCAAGTGAGTTGTCCAATGTCTCTGATAATTAAGGCATTTTATTTTGAACTTTGATATATGTCATTTAATTAGTGATTGATAAATTTCTTTTTTTCTTTTTCTTTTGTATTTTAAAGAGAAAAATAAAAATAACAATAAAATAGAATTTCAAACAGGCTAGTAGGAGAGTAATAATAATTAATATGCTGTGTTGTCTTTGTAGCAGGTATTCAGAGTAAAAGATATAGGCATGATATCTTGTCCAAACTATATTAGCACAAACCTTTCTTCTCAATGAATTAAGAGAAACTACCTGTATAACTATCGTAACTATCTTTGGTGTAAATATATTGTTTTCCTTCTCCCTTCTTTCCTTTCCCCATTCTCCCATCACAGTTTGTCTTCTCTTTTGAACAGTTTCTTCCCAATTCACAGTAACTATTGTACATTTTGGACTTTATTTACACATTCAGATTCTCACACTAGTGAGACAATATGATATTTAAACATATGGGTCTGATTTATTTCTGAGTATGGTCTTGAGTTACATACATTTATGTATAAAAGTCTCCAGTATATCGTTCTTTATGGCTGAGTAGTACTTCATTATATTAAAAAAAAACCCTCACAACTTTTTTACCCATTGCTCAGTTGATGGGCATTTGCATTGTTTCCAAGATTTAGCTATTACAAATTGTACTGCTACAAACATATGTGAACATATATCACTGTGGTATGATGTTTTAAGTTCTTCTGGGAAGATGCCCAGGAGGGGATTAACTGGGTTGAATGGAAGCCCTAATCCTAGTTTTTTAAGGAATCTCTAGACTGATTTCCACAGCGGTTGCACCAGTCTACAATACCACCAAAAGTGGAAAAAGCTTCCTTTTTCCCCACAAGCATGTCAGGATTTGATATTGGTTAATTTTTTGATGACACCCATTCTTTCTGGGGTGAGATGGAATATCAGTGTTGTTTTAATTTGCATCTCAGGAATGATGTTCAACGTTTTTTCATGTGTTTATTTGCCATTTGCATTTCTTCATCTGAGAAATGTATATCCATCTCAGATGTCCATTTTTGAATTGGGTCTTTGACTTTGATGGGTCTGATTTTTTAAAGTTCTTTGTATGTTGTAGATATAAGTCCTTTGTGTGAGGGCAACTGCCTATAATATTTTCCCACTCTGAGTTGTCTTTTTCACTCTGTTGGTGATTTATTTTATTGCACAAAAGCTTCTTAATAAGGTGAAATTCTATTTGTTGATTTTTTGTAGTATTTCCCTTGTGGTCTGGATTTTGTTTATAAAGTCTGCCTACACCTATGTCTTCAAGATTTGTACCTATTTTCTCTTACATTAAATTTAGTGTTTCTATTTAAATATTTAGATCTTTGATCCTTTTTTACTTTAGTTTAGTGCATGGTGACAGATATGGGTCTAGTTTTAGTCTTTGGCATGTGGAACGCCAGTTTTTCCAGCACTATTTATTAAAGAGACAATCATTCTTCCAGTGAACATGTTTGGCTCCTTTGTGAAAGATAAGGTGGCGACATGTGTTTGGGGTTATGTCTGCATCTTCTATTTTCTACTGATCCTCAGGCGTGCTTTTTGGCAATAACATGCTGATATTATCATAGTAGCTTTGTAGTATAGTGAGGGATTATAATGACCTCTAACATGCCTTTGTTGCCCAGAACTGCTTTTGCTATTCTAGTTCACTTCTGTTTCCAAATGATTTTAAGAGTATTTTCTCTAGATCTGTGAGGTATGCTAATAGTATTTTGATAGGGATTGTATTAAATCTGTATAACAGTTTTGGGGATACAGCCATTTTCACTATGTTGCTTCTTCCTAGCCAAGAGCAAGGGTTATCTTTCCATTTTGTGATATCCTATTTAGTCTTCTTTTTTAGAGTACTGTAATTTTCATTGTATAGATCTTTTACATCCTTTGTTAGATTGATTCCTAATATTTCATTTCTTTACATGCTATTGTGAAGTGTATGCTTTCCCTAATTTCTGTTAGTTTGTTGCTTGCATACAGGAATGCTATTGCTTTTTGAGTGGTTGACTTTATATCCCACTACATGGCTGAATTTGGATATTATATCTACAAGTTTTTTGTGAAGTTTTGGGGGACTTCTATGTAGATTATCATGTCATATGCAAATAATGGTAATTTAACATCTTCCTTTCATATCTTTATTCCTTTTATTTTTCTCTCTTGTCTAATTAGTCTAATGTTTCCAGAAGTATATTAAATAGGAATGGTGATAATGGTGACATCCTGATTTTAGAGCAAAAGCTCTCAGTTTTTTATCATTTAATATGATGTTAGCTGTTGGTTTGTCATAAATGGCTTTTATAAGATTGATGTAAAGACCATCTATTCCAATTTTCTGTAGTTTTTTATGATGAGCGAGTATTGGAAATGTCAAATTTCTTTTTCTGCATCTATTGAGATCATCATGTGATTTTTGTCTTTTGTTCTGTTAATATGGTGTATTACATTTATTGATTTGAATATGTTGAACCATCCCTGCATCCCTGGGATAAATCCTACTTGGTTATGATGTACAATTCTCTTAATAATTTGCTGCATTCTGTTTGCCAATAGCTTTTTAAGGATTTTTACATCTATGTTCATTAGGGAGACTGGCCTATAGTTTCCTTTTTTGATGGTGTTCTTCCCTGGTTTTGGAATTAGGGTAATATGTGCTTCCTGCAGTAATTTTGGAAGTAGTGCTTCCTTTTCAAATGCTTTATAGAGTTTCAGCATTAGTTGCATTAATTCTTTAAATTTCTAGTTGAAATTAACAGCGAATCCATCAGGGCCTGAGGTTTTCTTTGTTGGGCAATTTTTAATTACATTTTCAATTTCACTGGCTGATATCAGGTTATTTAGAATTATAATGTTTTTGTTTTAGTTTTGGCAATTTGTGTCTAGGAATCTGTCCATTTCTTTGATGTTTTCCATCTTATTAGCATATAGATTCTCATAGTTGCTATTGATGATTTCCTGGATTTCTGTTGGCTCCATTGAGATTTCCCCCTTTTCATTCCTAATTGTTTAACTTTTTGCTTTTTCCTTCCTCTTTTTGATGGGTTGTCAAATGGTTTATCAACTTCATTTACTCTTTTAAAGAATCAACTTTTCTTTGTACTAATTCTTTGTATGTTTTTCAGTCTCTATTTCATTAATTTCTGCTGTTACTTTTATAATTTCCACTCTAGTATGAGCTTTGCATTTGATTTGTTCCTTTTTCTTGAAGTTTGAGGTTC